TTGTGTGTGAGTGTGTGTGTGTGTGTGTGTGTGTGTGTGAGTCTCTCATGCTGCGAAGACTGTGTAATCCCCTCACTGTGACTCTCACATGATGAAGAAATCTCACGTAACACAGCAGCCTGGGGCTGAACGTGGTTACTCCACCTCAACTCACATGCTCCTCTGTTGCTGCCCCCCCACCGTCCTTCCGTGCTCCACATTAGCTTCAGTCATTCTGACCAGATAAAAGCTCAGAGAGGATCATCTCCCACTGGTTGACAACATGAGGAGATATTTGGATATAAGACGAATTCCTTTGCCGTGGTCGAGGAGGGACAATACGCAGAATGAGTCCAGTCCCCTCATACCAAAGGTAAGGGGCTGCATTTTAACTTTTGCTTTGTCACATAATGGTTCCTGCCGAGTATCTGGCACCTCTTTGTTCTCAAAAACTATGGTGTTTATTTGTACTCCTTTGTGTCCAAAGGCAGGCTCAGCCAGAGAGGATGCTCAGGAGCTGGGCTATGTCACCAATGAATTTAAGTTGGCAGGGTCAAACAATGGACAGGACTACAACAGCCCCGCATTCTCAAGGACTGAGACCTACTACAGATATTCATTGATGGACTATTTCCTAAAATATTTCCTCTTCCTGTGCAACCTGGTGTTTACGGTTCTGGGCCTCGTGGTTCTTGGTCTGGGGATGTGGGGCCTTATCAGCAAAGAGTCATTTGCTCAGGAGAAGATCGGAAGCATCGGCACCGACCCAATGCTGATACTTGTGACTCTGGGCTTCTTGCTAACTGTGCTCTGCCTGTCAGGCTGTGTGGGCGCCCTGAGAGAGAACTGCTGCTTACTGAAGCTGTTCTCCATCGCCGTGCTGGTGCTCATCTCAGCCCAGCTGCTGGCGGCCATTACGGCCTACAGTCTCAAAGATCAGATTGGGAGCTACCTGCGGTCAGGAATGTTAACTGCCATGATGCACTATCAGGATGACCTGGACCTGAGGTTCATCACGGATGAGATTCAGTCAAATCTGCAGTGCTGTGGGGCAGATAACTATCATGACTGGGAAATCAACATGTGAGTACTGTGACCAACTTGCATACACATAAAAATATACACCAGAACCTTTTGTCTGTTGTGTAGAAATGCATTGAAATGATATGTAATGCTCAGCATGTTATATACCCCTCCTCAGATATTATAACTGCTCAGCTCCAGGAGTGCTGGCCTGCGGTGTCCCTGCAACCTGCTGTGTGGACCCTCTGCAGAACGGCACAGTGTGGAACTCGCAGTGTGGCGTGGGAGCCCAGCTGCTCGATGAGTTCACCGCTCAAAGTGTGATCTTCCTGGGCGGATGTCTCGGGGGAATCTCCCGCTGGATCGAGCAGCACAACGGCCTGATAGGGACGGTTGGCGTCGTCGAACTCGGGGTCCAAATTCTGACTCTGTTCGTGACTACACGACTGCTGGAGAGCATCCAGAGGCATAAAGTGTATATGTGATATGTCACAGATATCTAATGAGTGGTGACTGCTGAACCTGTGCCAGAGGAAAAGACAACAACTCCTAATTTAAATACCAACTAAACATGCAGAATGCATTATTCACCCAGTATATATTCTTGTTTTAAAATAACAACAAATTCAATTAAAACAAGCTTAGGCACAAACCGCACTTGGCTGCAGCCTTCAGCGACTCTCAAAAGACAAACAGTATAGATAATGAATGGGGGGATGAGACCCAATCTAACATTTACATCTGAATCTGTAATATGTGCCTTACACCTTCATTTTGCTTTAAAACTTTGTCTTCTCTTGAAGTTGGGTTTTTACCCTGACAAAAGGGGGTATCTCACTGAGGTTGACTTTAACATAACAGAAGCTAATTTTTACCCTCGTGAGCTTTTGATGATGAATGAAAATAATTCTCAAAGAAATTATGTGATATTTTAAAAATCCACTCCTTTGATTTTGAGCCAAGGGTTAAATGAAAAGATCATTACTTCCCAATAGGTACATTATTGTGAACACTGTAAAACCATTTGTCATTTGTATAGACTGTGGATATTGTACATATTAAACAAACAAAAGTACATGTTAGTGAGCTTATAGTGAGATTCATCAGCTATTTTGTTCTTATTATTGAACCATTCACTCGTGCTGCTCATCATTTAAAAAGGGACAAATAAAGCATTATAATGAGAACTGTGTAATGTTTCCAACACATTCGCGTTGGTTTCATGAAAAACTGTTCAGTTCAACAGGAGGAGAATAAAGGAGAACAAGAAATTGTTTTTTTTTAAAACACCACATATCTTTATTCTGCATTTGATTAAAGACAATAAACATGATGCCGACATTTGAACCTTGTCGTGAAAGCTAAGCTTCCAGTTCCAGCTCCCACTGTAACCTCGATGACGTCTAAGACATGTGCACCATCAGTGGGTTATGAGGGTTAAAATGGCAGCTTGAGAGTCTTATAAAATATATTTAATGTATAAAACAACAAAGAGCAGCATCCACAATATGCAGAGAGATAGTTTAAATACTAATGATGTGATTTACAATTCCAACAAAGCCGATATTGATAATGACGCTCAGTGGGGCCACACTGGAGCCCTTTGGTGAATATAAAAAGAATTTCACAGTGAGTGAGTCAGATGATCCCATACTGAGCCAGTTCATGTAGCTCTAGATGGCTGTAGGCTTCCCACGGGCAGATCACAGTGATGTCTAGAAGAGAGACGACAAACAGTGAGGAACAAAAAGGAAAAACGTTGCCTGGTTTGTTGCCTAACTGTGCTAATTCTCCTCACCGGTGCCAAGACCTTCCATTCCTGGGATGTCCTCTCCAAAGCTGAGAAAGAAACAGTCACAAGCTTTATTGGAAGGGAACTGTTTAGTTTTAGAATAGTTTGAAAACAAATTCTCTAGATGACGCACCCGATGACGCCCCTCTTCGGAGGCTTGCTCTTGAACTGTCGGTTGTTCCTCTGCTTGAACTTGGGCGGGCCCTTGCGTGGGGATCCTGGACCGGTGGCTCTAAGAGGAGCTTTGTTTCCAGTCTTCGCTTCAGCTTTGGCCACGTCCAAATTCATATTTCTGGTGTTGAAGCTAAATTGGACATAGAGGGTCAGTTTTTACAACATTGCATTCACTATTAACTTGAGACTGTTGTCATTGAAAACCAATAATTAGCATCAATTTCATCCCTATGATCATAAAATAAATGAATATCTTAAACACACAAGCACAGACAATGGAGGCTCCTGTTATCTCTGATGCTCACATTATTAATTAAATTGCTACGCTGATTCTCAAGCGTCACTGCACCTTCATGATCAGATTACTGAGAGGACTTGCTGATTCTGCTTGTGCTCCCACAACCTAACAACAGTTTATAGATTACATGTTCGAATTTTTGGAGGAGTCTGAAAAAGGAAACTTTACAACTGCATCATCAAAAACAGGACAAAGTGCACCTAGCTGAAGAAATTAAAAAACATTTTTAATAGACCAGCAGCAGATATATCATATCAGCTACTTGTGTGTAAAAAATTAAACCACAGGTAAACTATAAATTGTGGTAAGCAATATATTAAATATATTTTTTAAGGACTTATTGTATACACAGAACAACCACTGTATTTGGTGCACCTTAGCAAATGGGATATTGCAATGGG